CGAGAGGAGCTCCAGGTGGGGTTGTAATTTAGCGGGCAGGCACCTCTGTCAGCTAAATTAGGACCCCACCTGGGGCTCCTCCCACTGGACCAGCGCGCCGCTGACTCGTCCCTGCTCCGTAGTTTTGATCGATCACCGGCACACGGACACAGTGAGTGAGGGCAGATTTGGGGGGGAGATTTATTAAGCAATTATGTATTGTCTGCACTGTATTAGCAGTATATACTCTATATAGAGTATATACTGCTAATACAGTGCAGACAATACATTTACAATTATACTAACATGAATGTATTAAATGATCTGTATGTAGCCCTGTACTATGGATCATTTAACCCATTCATGTTAGCAGAGGATCATTGTAAATGTATTGTTGCAGGCACTCTATATGTACATGTACTATATACTACATATAGAGTGCACTGAACAATAGATTTACAATTATCCTCTGCTAATATGAATGGGTTAAATGATCCGTAGTACATAATATGTAGCCCTGTACCCCCTTTTCCACTTACAGAGCTAGGTTATTGTTTTTCTTTTAAATAAATATTCATGTAATTTTATTGGTATCTATCTTCATTTTGTACATTTACCAGTAGCTGCCTCATTTCCCACCCTCGGCTTATATGCGAGTCAATACTTTTTCCCAGTTTTTTTTGTGGTAAAATTAGGTACCACGGCTTATATTCGGGACGGCTTATACTCGAGTATATACGGTACATACTAGAGTTGTTTTTGATGCAATCCAAGCTTACTTGAAAAAAACCTTTTATGTAGTGAGTGCTGCCTTTCTTCTGCCCATCAGTTTCAACAACTTCCAGGATTCCCAGTGTGCTTTGCATCTCTTTCCCTGCCGCTTGATGTGATGCAATCTCGATTTCTCTCATACATTGTGTTAGCACACTGAGGAAGTACATCCTATGGGCATCTTCAAAAAGTAGGTTTACTAACTTCTAGATTGATATGTTTGTTAGGAGTATGGAATTCAATGTAGAAATACATATTTCTTTTTAATTTTTGACCATAGTTACTCTTTAAATGTTTCTGTCATAAGCCTACAGAAGAGATTTTGCGTATTGGTTTCCAATTAATGAAGATATATCTTCTTGTGGGGCAGAAAAAGCAAAGCAGAAAGGTTCTCAACTTGCGTAACCTCAGGACCCACATCTGTCCCTGGTCATTAAGTCATGATTCAAGTTGCACCGCACTGGAACGCACGGCATTGTGGTAGCGTGCGCTCCGGTGCAGGCGATTGAACTGTGGATGGGAGGGGCATTTGGGGTGCCAAATG